AACTCTAGTTGTAATAAGATGATTAATTTACATTCAACCTAAGACTACTTGTGTGCCCTCAACTAGTAGGTTCTTGATGGCCACTTTATTTTATTGTTGCTTTGTCATGACAAGTTACTACCTTTCGAGAAGCTGGCTATAAGTGCCTAAAGCATATACTTCCTTCTAGTCCAGAGATGTTCAGTTACAATACAGAACTCTCTCTTGTTCTTAAAATTTTATACTTTGCACAGGTAGTCAGTGGTCAAAGACTGGGTGCTTTTCCCTGGAGATCAGAAACAAGTCAAAAGACAAGGCTGTCTGCTCTCATTGCTTCTGTCCAACATGGTCCTGAAGGTAAAATGGATCAGGCAGTTAGGCAACAAAAAGGAAGGAAGAACAGCTGTCTGTCTGTATTCACAGATGGCATGATCTTGAACGTAGGAAAATCCAAGGAATACACACACAAATATTGGAACTCACAAATGAGTTAGTAAGGTTGTAGGGTACTAGATAAATATATAAAAATCATTTATATTTCTGTATACTAGCAATGATTGTCTGAAAGTGAAATTAGGATAACAGTTCTGTTTATAATAACATCAAAAAGAAAACAATAGGATAGATTTAGCTAAATCTAAATTTAGATTTAGTTTTCAAGATTGCATACTGAAAACTAAAATATTTTGTAAAAAAAATTGAAGAAGCTATAAATAGGTCATCCCATGTTCAAGAATTGAAAGACTTAGTATTGTTACAGCATACTCTCCAAATTGATCTACAGATTCAATACTATACCATCCTTATCAAAACCCCAGCTGGCTTTTTTGATACAGAAATTAATATGAAAATGCTAGGGACCCACAGTAGCCAATACAACCAACCTGGAAAAGCAGATCAAAGTTGGAGGACACATACGTTACCATTTCAAAACTAATTACAAAGCTATTGTAATCAAGATAGTACAGTACTGGCAGAAGGATAGATGTATAGATCAAGGGTTATAACAGAAAGTTCAGAAATAAACCTGTCCATGTATGACACACTGACTTTCGTCAGGGGACCAGGACACTTCAGTGGAGAAAGAATAGTTGCAACAAATGATACTGAGACAACTGCACAGCCATGTGCAAGAGGTGCAGCTGGGCCCCTGCCTCCCGTTAAAGACAGGAAGGAGCTCAACGTGGACCATAGACCTAAAACTATGACTTCTAGAAGAAAACAGTGGTAAATCTTCGTGAGCTTAGACACACCAAGCCCAACTGACAAAAGGAAAAAATTAAGTAAATTGGGCTTCATTAAAATTAAAAACTTTTGTTCATCAAAGGACACCATCAAGAAAGGAAAATGATAACTCAGAATGGAGAGGGTACTTGCAACATTTTATCTGACAAGGTATTTATAACCAGAATAATATAAAGAACTCCTACAACTTGACAGTTGAAAGATAACCCAGTTTAAAACGTGGGTGTAGGATCTGAATAAACATTTCTGAATAAACATTTCTCCAAAGAACATATACAGATGGCCAGTAAGGAATGTAAAGTGGGGTAGCCACTTTGGAAAACAGTTTGGTGGTTTATCAAAACACTGAACAGTTACCATAGTACCCAGAACAGGCCAGTCCTCAGAGATGGAAGGCAGATGGGTGACTGTGTGGGGCTGGGAGCAGGAGAGACTGGGCAATGACTGGTGTTGGGTGTGGGGTTTCTTTTTGAGATTATGAAAATATTCCAAAACTAGATGGTAGTGATGGTGGCATACTTTCAAAGGGTTAATTTTGTGGCATTTGAATTATATCTTTACAAAACTTTAAAAAGTGTGCCAAAGGACCTACATGAGGGTCCAAATGCCTGTCAGCATTACCTTTAGTGAGTGCTGTGGCAGCCGTGTGGCTCACACTGTGACCCCTTCCTCTTAGCGAATGGGGCACGTCACAAATTGTGACTGCTTTTTCCAGGAGTGATGTTCTTGATTCCGAGAGTGACTTTGGAGTCCTTCTCAAAATAGTGCTTTCTGCAGCCACTGGAAGTGTACATTGGCAAAGATGAGATGGCTGTGTCGTGGACTGCTGGCTACGTTTGCTGCCAGAGAGCAAGGAGTCACTGAGTAGGCAATGAGCCTAGAGCTGTCTGTTCTTAAGGCTGCCCTCGCCCAGAGGAGATGGGCAGTGGGACCTGGTGGAGGATTCGGGCGCTGGATGCTGGGGCCCATCCCTGAGGAGGACTTTGCCACATGTTGTCAGACTTATATTGTAGAAGGCACATTGATAACTGTGGAAGGCTGATTTTGAGAGCACGAGGCTGGAGGTGGGAGACAAGGTGTCTGGAGTTTTTTTTTTGAGGAGGGGCTGAGCCAGGCCCATGTGGCCACAGGGCATAGTCCAGCCTCCAGATGATTTTGGAAAGTATGGTACAGAAGTAAGGAGTGATGAATTGGGGGCCAGGAAGGGGTCAGAGTATTTATAGGTGATGGCTGTACCGTGAAAGGCAAGAGTGGTGGCTGATTTCTGAGTGAGAGATGGGCCACGTGGACAAGGTGGGGCCCCTGCCCAGCATTCCATTGTGACTACATAAGGAGGCGTGCATTTCAGTAAAATAAGAAACATGCTCCAGTAACCCACTTAGCTCAGCCTTTTGGTTATACAGAAAAACTTTAATAAAAGATTATTGTCCTTCTAGTGGGAATTCATCCCACATGTCTTCTTCATAAAGTGGATCAGAGCCTACTGAAAGAGGTCTGTTTAGTTATAGGAGATGCATTTGAATATTCATAGAAAATATATATGTAGCCTTTAAGGAGATGGACGTTAGCCACGTGTTATGGTGTGACAGATTTCACAATGGATTACAAGTATATACAAGTTTTATTTGGATACCATCAAATTAACCTATTCAGGTTTTTATTGAGAAAAGAGAGGAGAAGCCCTGTGTTCTCACGTGGCTGCGTGGCTCTGTGCAGCCCTGCGCAGTGCGAGAAACCGGTCAGCGTGAGTATCGGTGGTGGTCTGGCTCCTACATGCCTTCATTCGCTCAGGAACATGGAAGTGCAGAAATCAAAATGTTTGTCCTTCAGTCTCTGTTAATTTTAAATTTGAATGCTTGAGTGTTCTAAATAGAATTCATGGGCTTATTGAAGATTATTGATTTCTTTTGGGTCACTAAGTATTTTCTGATGTTTAGCTTGAAGTGTATATTATGATGTGAATTAAATAAATTTTCCTGGGTATAGTAAGAGGGAGAGGTGTTTACTATGTATGACATTCCTTCTGTAGTGTTTCATTGTTACTTTTGGTCTTTTTTCTTTTTTTCATTTATTTTGTTTTAGAAGTACAGTTGACCTATGAACAACATGGGTTTGAACTGCGTGGGTCCAGTTAACATGCAAATTTTTATATATATATATATATATATATATATAGGAAAATTTTTCAAAGAGCTGTGTGAATTTGAAAAATCACGTTCTTTTCCTTAGCCTGCTTTTTTATAAGAATACAGCACATAATGTACAAGGCGTGTCAGTCAACTTTATGTCACTGGTAAGGCTTCTAGTCAACAGTAGTCTATCGGTGGTTAAGTTGTAGGGAGTTGAAGATACACTCAGACTTCTGCTGCTCGGGGTTGGTGCCCCGACCCTGTGTTGTTCAAGGGTCAGCTGTAATATTAATAGAGGGAGGAAATGTAAAAGTCAAACAGTAAAAAAATTTCCCCTTTTTGTGAAAATCCAGATTTTTCAGATACCCTGTTCTGTTTTGTAGGGATTCGTCTTGGCTGTTACTATCACACGGGAAGCAATTGATGAATTTCGGCGTTTTCAGCGAGACAAGGAAGTGAATTCACACCTGTACAGCAGGCTCACAGTAAGAGGTCAGCAGGGCACTTTGATCCAGTTCATCACTTATTTAGTATGGTCATCATTTTAGAGTTGACATAAATGAAAGAAAACACGTCTTAATTCTGTTACTGAAAATAATATATGATTGTATATGGAACCTCTAGTTAATTTTCTTATAATAATACACTTACGAATTTAGTGTAGATTTTTATTCATCAAGGTAGATGCTTGGATGTGCATGTGTATATGTGTATATAAATATGTACACACATATATATTAACAAATAACGTGCTCTGTTACAGTTTTTTCCATTGCTTATTTACTTAGACACATGTGAAAACCATTTGGTGTATACACATTTTCTGTGAAGCACAGTATCCCCTTATCTCACATCTCTCTAGCCTTAAACTATACTTGAGTAGAAGGACTTTGAGCACCTAAAATAAATGCCATGATCCAAAATGGTAACTGATAATATGCCTATTTCTCCTTAACCTCCATTCAGGGATTTAACATGTGCTTAATGTATGTTTTTAAAGAGCGTGTAAGGATTTTCTGTAGATTTCCTAGTAGAAAAGAAGCTGTGTGTTAGGCAGAGACTAGAGGAAGAAGCCCTTACACATTGGCATATGACAGTAGAAAAAGGACTGTGCAACTTTGTGAGGAAAGATGTGAAAAAACTAAATTGAGTGCTCATAATGACCTCAAAGTCTTTAAAAATGAAGTTTAGAGTGGGTGTATCTGTTTATATATGGATATTTGTCCAGGGAATTATTTGAAATAATCTTATCTAAAACAAACACACACACGCTCATATATATCTTATTGGGGTATGTTTCACATAAAACTCATCCATTTAAAGTATACAGTTCAGTGGTTTTTGGTATATTCAGAGTTATGAAACCACCACCACCATCAAACTTTGGAACATGTTTAACTTTTTGGAAAGAAACTGAATGTAACAGTAGTCCTTCTTTCCTATTCTTGCCCCTTTCCTGCCCTCCCCCCGTCCCAGGAACCATTCAGCTGCTTTCTGTGTCTGTGGGTTTGCCCCTTCGGGACACGTCATATAAAAGGAATCACGCAATGCATGGTTTTGTCACTAGCTTCTTTCACTTGGCATGATGTTTTCAAGGGTCATCAGGTTGTAGGTGTGGAGTTGTGTATTAGTACTTTATTTCTTTTTGTTGGCTAATAATATCCCAGTGTGTGATGACCCATTCATCAGTGGATGGATATTGGGTTGTTTCCACTTTTAAGCTATTGTAAATGATGCTGCTGTGAACATTTGTGTACAAGTTTTTGTGTGAACATTGTTTTCATTCCTTTCTTATATATACCTAGTGTGAAATTGCCTGGATATATGGTAACTCTATGTTTTTGATGAATTGTCAAACTATTTTCATAGCTAGCTGCACCATTTTATGTTCTTAACCAGCAGTGTGTGAGGGCTCCGGCTTCTCCACATGTTCACCAGCACTTGTTACCACTGTCCATTATCTGGGTTATAGCCATCCTAGTGGGAGTGAAGTAGCATCTCGCTATGATTTTGACCATTTGTTTATCTTTGGAGAAATGTTTCCTCAGATTCTTTGCCTACATTTTAACTAGGTTGTTTGTTTTTTAATTGCTGAGATTTTAAGATTTGTTTGTATATTCTAGATTTAAGTCCCTTGTCAGATATATGATTTGGAAAAATCTTGTTTCATTCTATGGGTTGTATTTTCTCTTGTTGATGAATGTGTCCTCTGATGCACAAAAGTCTTTAATTTTGATAAAGTCTGGCTCATCTGTTTTTTCTTTTGTTGCTTAATGCTTTTGGGTTGTATCTAAGAAACAGTTTGCCAACCCGTGGCTGCAGAGATTTATTTCTAGAGTTTCTTCTAAGAGGTTTATAGTTTAGCTCTTACAGTAAGGGCTTATAGTAAGCTCTTACTGCAATCTATTTTCATCTCGTATTTTCTGTATGGTGTGTGATATGGGTCCACATTATTTTGCAGGTGATTGTCCCCATGTTTGTTAAAAGACTGTTCTTTGTCTATTGAATTGTAAAATTAATTACTAAAAAGCTTTGACGCTAATAAAGTAGCAGCATGGTACAGGAAAGTATGTTGTAGAAAAGAAGATGAGCTTTAGCTTTGGGAAAAGAATCCCTAGAATGGGCAGGTAAATTAAGTATAACCTGTTTGTCTGCTTTAGAATATAGTGTAGATCCTGTCTTAATTTTTAAATTATTTTAATTGTAGTTTGAGCTGAACAGAGATTAGTTTCTGTGTATTAACTGTATCACTCAAAAAAATAGATGATGTGTGGTGTCTGTGGGAATGGCAGAGCTGGCTGCTGCACGTGCCCCTCCTTCCACAGAAACACGGACAAATCCAGCAGAACTGACTTCATCGGAACTCGGAGGTAGTCAGGGTCATGGCGCCAAGTGATGGCTGAATCCAGGAGCACGTAATCAAAAAATAGTAGGAGAGCTTTTTGTTGTCTGCACTTGCCCTTGCTGCGCCCCTCCCCCTATGCCACCCATCTTGAAGACAGTGAATTGAAGTGATTTCCTGAGTTGCCAGATGATAATGCTCAGTATGTCCAGTTTTCCACAAAAAAATTATGACACGTGCAAAGAAACAAAGTACGTGGCCCATTTACAGAACTTAACAAAAACTGCCTGTGAGGAAGCAAGACATTGAACTTACTAGAGAAAGACTAAATTGACTGCCTTAAATATGCTCAAGGGGCTAAAGGAAATAATGGACAAATTGCTAAAATGGAGAATGGTATATTAACAAATAGAGTATCAATAAAAGTATAAAATTATTTTAAAAAATAGAAGCAAAATTCTGGAGCTAAGAAGTACAATAAGTGAAAAACTCCCTAAAGTGTTCCAGTAGCAGATTTTGAGCAGGCAGAAGAAAGAATCCATAAGCTTGAAACTAGGCGACTTGAAGTCATCCAGTGTCAGGAGGAGAAGGAAGATACGTGGGTCCTAAGGAACTTGTGGGGTCGCATTAGTTGTGCTGATGGGCACCTCATGGAGATCTTAGAGCAGGAGAACAGAGGACAGAGAGAATGTTGGAAGGAGGAGTGACCATTAACTCTACAGACTTGACAGAAGACGAGGATCTGCACATGCAGGAAGCTCAGTGAACCCCTGGAAGGATGAGTGTAGAGAGACCCACACCGAGATGCACTGCAGTCCAACTGAAAACTCGGGGGCCGAGAGAGGCCCTGAGAGCGAGAGGGAGAAGCGGCTCCTCAGACACCAGGGGTCTCCACTGACGGTGAGAGACAAGAACATTTCCATCCGAAACTGTGCAAGTCAGGCGGAAGTGGGTGACATTTTTTAAATGGTAAAAGAAAAAACTGCCGACCGAAAGTTTTATATCCAGTAAAACTGTCATTCAGAACTGAGGGAGAAATCAAGGCCTTCCTAGGTGAGCTTAGAATTGGAAACAAGGACTCGCGCAAATACGCGTACACCCATGTCTGCAGCGTTAGTCACACTCTCCAGACGGTGGCATCCCAAACGTCCGTCGGTGGGTAGGTGGGTGGGTAAGTCAGTCATGCTGATTTCACATGTGGAATATTACTCAAACCATAGAAATTAATGAAATTCTGGTACGTGACACACCATGGCTGAACCTTGGCAATATTATGCTGTGTGAAAGCAACCAGGCACTGTTGTGCCATCACATATTGTGTGATTTCATTTCTGTTAAATGTTACAGCCTGGGGCAGTAGGGACTGGGCAGCAGCTGCTTAAAGGGTGTGAAGTTCCTTTTTGAGGTGATGAAATGTTTTGGAACTTTATATAGAGGTGGTTGCACAACATTCTGAATGTGCTACATGCCACTGAGTTATTAGTCACTTGACAGCAGCTGATTTTATGTTATGTCAGTTTCACCTAAAAGTAATACAAAATGTTGAGGAAGACAGACTAATATTATGTTTTTTCTATTTCTGTAATATTAAACTCAAAATGCTTTAAAAATAATTTTTAGTAGATTTATTTGGAGATCTACCTTTTTAAAGAAAATTGATCATCATTGCTGGTGATCTGTGAAATGAACATTTTACATCAGATAATGATAATGACAGCTGCTATTTTTTTACTTCCTTGTGTGTCAGATATATTCATAATATTCATTTGCAAAAGCACCATCCAGGTAAGTTGGTGTTATTTCCAGTTTGCAGATGAGAAACCCGAGGCTCATGCTGAATAATTTGCCCTAAGCCACCAAAGTTTTTGGTAGAATTCACACTGGAAGCTGGACCATTCTGACTTCTAATCCAGCATTCTTTCAGCTGTGATGTGTTGTTTTGTGGCTGCTTATTCTGATGCAAATGATATAAGAAAACTCTAGAATATAAAAAAATGCATGTTTATACTTGCTGTTGAGTATAGTTTAAAATTTATTTTCTTGTCAAGAATATTTGCTGCTCATCTCCTTAACTTGTAATGTATCATAGTTATTTATCTGTTCCTTGAATGGCATTGACAGCTACTTATGTGATTTACTGTGGTTTGTTATATTTACAACATTTGAACTTTTTCCATTTGGGGTTCTCAAGCACATTTTTGAAAACACATTAGAAAAATGTTCTCTGTCACTTCTTTCCTTTGAAAAGGAAAGCCACTTGTACTTTTGAGTGTGCTAGTATGTGGAAGGTGCTTTGTTGGGAAGCAGAGGATGTTTTTCCCTGGTGTGTGGTTTCAGTGGGCATTGGGTGATTCATCGCTAGGTTTTTGTTTATTGCCTGAGAGGCTGCTTTCCTTGCGTGGGAATTTTCCAGAAATTTCTGTGGCGCTACTTTCTTTACTTTCTCTTCACAGTGAGTGCTTTCATTACTCATCAGGATCTCATGGGTAGCATCCAGGGCAGGGGCATGGAGGAGAGAATGAGATCGGATTTCCTGCGTGTTGGCAGCTGTGTAAAAACTCCCGATGAAGAGGACTTTGAACTGCAGGCCCGTTTGGCTGCCAGGTCCTCGCATCGGTGCCCCTCCCCCTGGCGCTGGGGGAGGCGCTGG